AAAACATATATACGATGATCAGTTTTCAATAATCCATGTGACCAAATCAATTATGAAAAGAAAACTATTTTTTGTTAAATTTCAAGTAAGATAACAAATGTAATAGATACTTAAGTTGAACTGGCGTTGAAATGAAATGAGCAAATACTTTTGTATGTACTTTATTTAGGTTCATTGATTGTATTAACAAAAACTTTCTAAAAAGATTAATTTCTTTTTGTAAGCTAATTTATTTATATATTTCAAGTAAAAAAATAAAAACTTATTCTAAAGAATATTTCCTAAAGATAAAATAACTAAATATAAGTGATACTTTATACAACATAATTATTTGTTTGATTTTTACAAAGAGTATTAAATATATTACATGAAAATAAAAAAAAATATTTCATTACAGTTGATCTTCGGCCAATACATATGTGTTGGAATGAAGACAGAAACGACTCTTGATAAGATTCTGATAGTTTATTTTACCGCAGCTTTCGAAATGCTTTTTCAATGGATAGTCGTATCTTCCGTTTCAGAAATGATATATAAGATCTTTCAACATCGTCGTACGGTAATATGAATATGAATTGATTCTACTATGATTTATCAAAGAACTCATTTAGCAACAACAATCAATTTAAGTTTCAATTTTCGAATCTAAAAACCATTCCGATTCTATTTTTATATGCATGTGAGCTGTAGGTTAAAATGGAGAAAACGTCAAAAGTCAGGAATAGCTATACTCAACTTCAATATTTATACTTTACACAGTGTAAATTAATTATGATGAGATTATACTTATGGTCAGGAACATTAATATTGACTTTGAGAATCATAAACGGTATGTTTGAGACCAACAACATAGAAGAAAATCATAAAGGGTCGGTGTGAATTCTATTGTTTTATCCTTAAGACTAAAACCTGATGAAGTTTTTCAGTTTGACATTTCTTGACTTAGCGTGTTGTATATCTGGACGGAAGCATTTTAACCCTTGGTATCACCAAATCGACACTTAAGTTGAGTGCAAACCTGAACTAAGAGTGTAGATATCTACTTTTGGCTCACACCCACACCCTCTAGTGTAGGATAGGAGAAGAGTATGAAAATCATTGTAAAGTAGAGTATAGGATTGACGAAAATCTGATTCTGCAGAAATCTGTTCACGGCAAAGATTTCTGTTTTATTATTGATAGAAAATCTATGGAGTACAACGAATTCGATGAAAATAACAATAATCAGTAAGATAC